AGAGTGTTCCTTTCTCAAAGGGGATGAGGTAAGTGGCTGAGTGGGTTAAGGAGCACTCTCACCTCCGCCTCATCTCGCCAAGGGATTCAATTTAAGGCTGAGGGTCTGCCACATGTGTGTTGGACTTGATGGCCCAGATAAAACGACCATTCTTTTGGGTGAGATTGTAACCAATTTCGCCTGCTGCTGGAGGTGAAGTAGTGATAAGGTTGCAGGGGATGGGGAACACAGGAACTGAGACCAGGAGCACACATGCTGGGAACCACATAATAATTCTTGAGAACAATGTAAGCGTCAATTGTGCATGGCCAATGTACGTACGAGTATGTGGGTAGTTTCACCGCCCTTTCTCCGCCCCCGAAACAGTTTGCCCACATTTGTGCAGACTCAGATCTCCAGACTCAGACTCAGTCTGCGACTGAGACTCAGACTCAGACATCAAGGGACACAAAGACGACAACGTCGGCACATGCCACACGTCAAGTCAAGAAATTTAAATTAAAAACCTTTTTTGCATGAAATGTTTTTGTTTGCCTGCAAGCATGATGCATATGTTTCCACTAATTCTGGAGGTTTTAAAAGGAAATGGATGAGCAGAATGGGGTAAAAGTATTACATTGTACGTACAAGAGTTGGGCAAAAGTTGGACACTGCTGTCTAAGTAACGAATTATTACAGGGAAAGAGTGTCAGTTATTAATGGAAAGGATTACGAGATGATACATGTACTTAAGATCCAGGTTGTGGTACTACAAATTAAAAGTAGCTGAATACTTACACAACTAACAAAATTATTCCTAAATTATGTGCGTAATTGAACAAACAATTGATATTTATTGAATCGATAGATACAAAATAACCCACGTTCACTATAAATGAATGAAAGCTTTGTATTCTTAGAATTTGAATGAATAGCACAATAAAAGATTAATGATTTATTATTTAAAAATCGGGTACTTCGGTTCGTTTAATTAATTAGTTTAAATTTAATTTCGTCATCTGCGCAAAACGAAGTTTTTAAAACAATCTTTCTGGATTGAATCATAATGTTTATTTTGGTTAATTTCTTATCAAGCTTGCACTTAAGTATTTGACTCACTAGTCACCAAATGTCCCCAAAAAATACATTGAACTGGAATCCGATTAGTCAGCGAAGAAAAACATACAGAATATTCCCAAGGTTCACCATGAGTGAGATCAATTAGACATCAGAATACAGTGAGCTCACTCGGCTCGTTTGCTCTGTATTTCCTCAATTGTCTGCGAGTGTGATTAGTTCACTTTTATCAGCTGGAAAAAGAACAAGGCAATCGTAAATTTCAGAGCCAGGGCTTTATGCCTATAAAAGTAAATCAGTTTGAACTCGAACTGCGCTCCTCTTATTATTTTTCTCTTGTATTTTTCTCTCACATATGCTGCGAGTGGCAATTAATTTGTGTGCTTAATTCGCCTAATTATTCCAGGCAATAAAATTTTCAATACACTTAGATGATGGTGATGATGATGATGAGGCCCCCCTGCTCATTTATTGTCCCTTTGTCCACACCTAAAAGGGAAAATTGTGGCGGGGGGCGAAGGACACGTTTAATTCAATTCGCGAAGGTTCCTTGACTCGACTTCTTTTTATTTATATTTTTTTTCCTCCTTGGCTTAGTGGGAATAAAAAGGCGAATGAAAAAACAACAGCGACATTTAAATTCAAATCGCTGAAGACGCTGACAAAGAAGCGGCGCCACACGTCGGATTAATTTTATGTGCCCCAAGGAAAAGCGTCTCCAGGACATTTTTCGCCCTCGCTTCAATTAGAGGAGAATGGAATGGCGGGACCTCGAAGTCCTTTGGCATTTGCCATTGGCTGGCTGCAATTGTTAAAATCGAATTAAGCCACGGTGTCGCATACTTTTGATCTCCCCGTCAGCCAATGAAATGTTGCACTGCTCGACGAAATGTCCTTACATTGTCCTTGCCGAGTAAATGGAGGTATTGCCACCCGCCCCACCCCCTCGCCTTTCGTCTATTTCAATTTCGGTTTGCTTGGCGCAAATGAAATTAAACGAAGATTAGTCGTGTGCTCGCTAGATTATTCCAAGAAATAAAAGTCCAACAGATATAAGAGAACCCAGAGATATAGCCGGGCGTTCATTATTTTTTCGTTTTGGTGGCGGCTTTTGCTTGGCGCTTATTTTTATTTGTATTTTCCATTCGCTTTGGCTTGGTGCTCGCTTTTTTTTATGGCCCCTTGAGGTGATTTGCTCAAGTTCGCCGCCCCCATTTCACAGAAATCTCAGGGGTATAGGGGTTTGTTTAAGGGAAAAGAGGGAGGGGTTTCAGCGGTTGGGGTGTCACATTAGTGGAGCTGAAATCTGGGCAAATCACAAGCTACATTTAACCCGCAAATGATGGCCGGCTTTGGCATCATCTGCAGTTTATGAAAGAGTTTCGGGCCACCGAATTCTGGCTAAAGGACAGCGAAATTAAAAGGAGGCTTAGAGAAATCTTTTAGAAGATTTTAATTACCCAAACCTATTTAGTATTTTTAACCGATACTGTATTTAATAGTACTCTTGTAGATGGAACTAACATCTAAGCTAAATAAATTGTAATTTTTCTAAACTTATAGCTTATTTAATCACAAATTATAATGTTAAAGTAAAGAATGGACTTTGGTTCGTTTTAAAAGTTGTTGAGCTGTGAAAGCAATTTAGTTCCTGATTAATATTCCATTGAAAATCGCTTTATTTATCATATTCCATTTGTAACTCACCATTAAATATCCTCAGATCAGCGCCCCCATCAGATTTTTTGCTTCGTGCCGCTCGTGTGTTCAATTAAAAAATGGTGCCCATTAATTGCTAACCAATTTGCAGTCCGGACACTTCCTTCTTGGTGTCTCAAGTGTACTGGACTGGATTTTCTCGATTTTCCTGCTGCTCTTCCACTTTGATGAGCAGAAACAGCGACGACCGTCGATGTTGACATTTTTTGCATATTAATTGAAGACAAGGCCTCATCCTTTAGTCCGATTTTTCTCCCTGGCCTTTGCCCTCGTCCACCCTTGGCTTAATTTGCGGTAAGTTCATTAAGTAATAAAACATAAATTTCATTTTTTTTGTTCTCCAGCACCCCGTCATCAAGTTCTTGATACTTTTCCCATTTTTCTCGGCGCTGTTTTTGTTGTTTTTTAATGCTTTGCATATTTCTTTAATGAATTAATTCTGTTTTGGTTTCGCTCTGGGTTTCGGTTCTGTTGATTCACCGTTCACTGGACTTTGTTAAAAAAAGGCACAAAAGTCGCTGGCGATAAAACTGAAGAAACGCGCCAGGGGAAAGGGGGTAGAATATTTTGTATAATTTATTCGAACAAAATTAGGGGAAGCCGGCGGCAGGGGAAACGCGTTTGTCGAGTGTTAATTATGCTCTGGCTGCAAAACTTTTCTATCAATTTTTGAAAATATAAATTTGAGAGCGCGAAAACATGTTTTGCATATGAAAACGGAGATATGGAAAATTGAGGAAAAACAGGGAAAATGTTGCCGCTCTCCTCAGCGGCTAATTGCGTTCTCCTGGGGTTTCCTCTATAAAAGAAGAAAAAGCGCCTGCATCGAATTGCAGTTTCTGCATAGAGTGACGAAAAACACTCAGAAAAATGCTCTTTATTTTTATAGTAATTTGATTTAATATACATTGACGCAATATAAGAAGTAGCAAAATTATGCTGACAATTATTATAAAAGAGTTTTATTGAACTATCTTGGTTTTTCCGCAAAAAAGTATTCGTAATAATAAGTATATCATATGAAATGTAATTCTTTATTAACTATTTTTAGAAATTTGATTTTTTCTTATTACACCTGCGTTTGGCTTGCCATTTTCTCCCTGTGTATTTGGGGGATGTGGTGACTTGGGGGTGTCAGGTTGTCAGTTGCCTTGCCGGTTGTTTGTTGTCTCTGATTGTTGACATGCATTCCCGCAAATGAGCCGTGCAATTGTCGGGGTGCCTCCTATTGACAGCTCCCAGTTCGATAGTCACAATGCATACACGTATATCTAGGAATCCCTAACTCTAGACCCGCGGGATTCGTCTCGAGTTTCAGACGACGTGCGCTTGACTTTGGCTTCATCTTTCGCCTGCATTTCCATCTCCGGCTTCCCTGACTGACAACTGTCGGTTTCCATCTCGGGGTTCCGACACTGAAAAGTGTGACGATTTATTTGGCATATGGCGCGGGGTGCAGGAATCAATTGGTTCCTGTCCCCGGACAGATGCCTTAGATCTGCGACACGGGCATTGACAGCCTCAACTGGACATCATTTGTCTTGGATTTTGGTATTGCCAGTTGCTTTCGTTTCAACTCTTCTGTTCGGCTCGAATTCCTGGCTGACTAGTGCCTGTCAACGGTATTTAATTAGTTTTTGTAATGGACTCTTTTCCCTATAATATAACAATTAATTATAGTCGATTTTCCCAGTCGCTGTCTGCTTGGTGATAACACTGCGCTTAGTAGCATGCTCTTGATAAGAAATGATTTGAAATTTGTCTATTTATAACTTCTATACTCTTTGGCAAATTTGAGACATTACTAAATAGAACATAGGTAATAAAATCAAAAAAATACTTGCAAAGTTCGGCATTCAAAATAAATTGTTTTTAAACTTGATTTTTATAGCAAAGAACTTAACGTATTCTTTAAAATAAAGAATTCAAATAATTTGAAAATATGTGGATTTCTTTAGAAATCATCTAAAGTCTTTGGTGAATTAAACTCATAAAATTTAAAAATAATTTAAAGTATCTTCTGACTTAAAAACTATTTTTGTGTTGCTAAAAAATATTTAACAAAATTCCATTGGTAAACGTCTAAAGGTTGTGAATTTTAAATATTTGTAAAAAAGGGATACGCTTTATTTATTAGAGTATTTACAGTTGTGTATACTCAGATTAGAAATTTCCATTGATAATACAATCGAATTTTCCGTAATCGTAGCTAGTACGTGCATTCGGCGTCCGACTTTCGATCCACCATGTTGCGTTTAAGCTTGCTGCTGATTATTGCCTTTGTCGGTTCTTTGGCATCCGTTTCCGCGGAAATAGTGAACTTCCAAATGTGCGACGACAGCGTGGACACCTGCACAATCCACCAGGTGGAAGTGTCGCCCTGTCCGGAGGCGAGGTTAAATGCCGCATGCCAAATCCGCCGGAGACGCAGATTCACGATGAGCTTCAACTTTACGACTCACTTCGATGCCGAGCGGTTGGAGGCTAGCTTGGGATGGGCCAAATCGGAGACGGTGGAGCTCCCTCTGCTGTCGATGGATCGGGAGGCCTGCAAATACACCGCCTGCCCCGTGAGATCCGGAGTTATGCAGACCTACACCACCAACATGCCCGCCGATGCCAAATTCCCGCTGAGTTCTTACACCATCCGATGGGCCCTCAAGGATCCCCTCAGCGGAAAGCGATGCTGCTTCACCCATGACATTAAGGTGGTGCGCTAAAAGGTCGCACAGAAATTCAGACTCTGATCAATATATAGTGTACAACCAATATATAGTGTAAAACAGTGAAATAAAAACAAATTACAATAATTGCTCATCATTTAAATTGGTTGGGAGTTCCTTCAATTGTTTCTTAGTCTTTTGTTTGGCTTGAGTTTTCTTGCTGACTTTAGCAGTTTACAGCGGTTTAAAGCACACACGTTTTACCTTGAAGCTGTCAGTTTCATGACAGAGAACAAAGGAATGCTGCTGATAAGGAACACATCTGAAATTTTAAAATGACAAATTATATAAAATATTACTCTCTTGATGAATTCAGTTCTGAGTTTTAGTAACTATACACAAATATTTTAATTTATAGTGCATTTCTTTCTCTATTATTTCTCGAAATATAAAATTTGTTTTCCTATGAACTTGTGTTTTGGAAATTTTATTATCGTTACCAAATGTTTCTAAAGATCTCAGTAAAGCCAGAAAAGTAAACGTTAACTTTATTAAAACTTATGCTAGATGCAAAAAGAATTTCGAAAGCCACCTTGAAAAGGCATATGAAAGTTGGAAAATTTTCTAATGAAAAATATAAACAATTTTTAATTTTCGGGTAGTACTAAGTTTTTAAAATGTTCCGAATTTCAAAGTACTCTTTCTGTATACCCTTACATTCTAAGTACATTCCGATAAGGAGTTTCTGTTTAATCAGTTGAGAGACACTTGTGGCCGCTTTCGCTTTACGATTGTGGGGTCAAGGGGTCAACGGGTCCGGAGATTAGCCCGCTAGTAGCCGGTGCCTGCATTCCGTGTTCGACTTTCGATCTATAATGTTGCGTTTGAGATCGCTCCTGCTGGGCCTCGCCCTTGTCCTGATCCTGGGATCCGTCTCCGCCGAGGTGATCGACTTCCAAACGTGTCCGGACAGCGTGGACACCTGCACGATCCAGCAGGTGAGGGTTACCCCTTGTCCGGAGGCTTTGCAACATGCAGCCTGCAACATCCGCCGGAGGCGCACCACCCAGATGAGCTTCGATTTCACTCCTCATTTCGACGCTGACCGATTGGAGACCAGTTTGGGATGGGCCAAATCTGATACGGAGGAACTGCCGCTGCTGACGATGGATCGAGACACCTGCAAGTACACCACCTGCCCCGTGAGATCCGGTGTGACCCAGACCTACACCACCGATGTGCCCATCGAGCCCAAGTTTCCACTGAGCCCGTACACCATCCGTTGGGGCATCAAGGATCCCGTCAGTGGAAAGCGATGCTGCTTCACCCATGACATTAAGGTGGTGCGGTAAAAGGACTCTGAAATAATAAATCGTAGACAAAAATTGGTCTACTATCTACTGATTATACTGATTTCTTTCTTAATTTTGATACAGTAAAAATAAAATTAAATTTCTTACATAAAGAACATGTGTTTTAAAGTGGTTGCTGTTTTTCTTCTTTTTTAAAATATTATGCCTGGTAATTGAATATAAATTTATTAATTTTGAGCATTCAGAGTTTTAAAAAAAGTTATATTTGCGTGGTAAAAGAAAAACATTTATTTATGCTAAGCTAAAATTTTAAAAAAGAATAATTTCTCAAGATTACAAAACCAAAATTCTTATATTATCTACATCGGATTACAGTGTTTCTTTGTTCTCGCACTGAACACCAGATTGCGGTGAATAAATTTATTTTCTGTTAACGATTAAGTGCGTTTTTTAATTATTTGTGTGCCGGACTACGGCTCACTGGGGACCGCCTTAAGGAATAAAGATATTTACTTCAATAATAATCAACCTGCTGGCGACTAATTTGAACCCCAAAGTCCCGCGGGCAGCGAAGGGAAAATGTATAAAACTTTGATTGAACTTTTGGGTGCCATTAAAAAGTCTCTCCCGCCTTCGTCAGCTTTTCTCGGTGGGTCTTATCAGCGTCGTCAAACAATTAAAAATTGAGCACTTAAGTTGTGGTCATAAAATCATTTGTTTTTCTTGTTTTTTCTCCTCATTTTTTTCCGAGTTTTATTGTTTTTCTGTTCACATTTTTCAGTGGTGGAAAATTCAAATAGCGAATTACTTTTCCTACTGAGAGTTTTTAGAAGATGAGGGTGTATTGTTTTGGTGAGGTTTTGATTATACTGCTTTAAGTTATTGATAAGAATAAAATAAATTATAACAACCTTTAGAATAAATATATGTGTTAAAAAAATGTTTATTCTGTACACGACCCTCTAAAAAATATATTTTTAAAGGGTATTGTTCCTTCCACACATTTTTTAAACACATTCTTCCCACTTAAGTTTCTTTTCCTTTTTATGTTTACCTAAACGAAAACGTAGCAATATTTTTGGGATGGATGGGGAATTGGTCAGAAGTCTGATAGGCCTGACCCCAAAAAAGCAAGGCAATAATAACACAAACAACGTCAGACACTTGAGCAAATAATAATAATAACGAGAGTAATCAGAGAAAGGACTTAAAGAACACATTGTTACTCAATTTGAATGCTTGGAGAGCTTGATATCAAATTCAAATTTTGGCATTGGCCTCGCCGTACTTTTTACCCAAAACATAGGGAGTTTTGGTAAGAGAAGAGATGATTTCACATTTGACTTGCTCGAAACAAGGTGAGGCATCCACATAGAACACTTCTCTTCGCTGACTGAGATAGGAATTTAAAGCGGGTTCACTTTTCCGGAACTGAGCCATCTGGCGATCCAAAAAGGTGATGTGAGCTTGAGGTCCTGGCGAGTAACTATTGAGCAAAATTCGCATGCGTGCCATACGCTCATCGATTTGCAGGAAGACAAATCTATTTGGGGGCACAGTGAAGCCCTCAAAGAGTTCTTCAGCTTCACACTTATTATTCGGATAATTGATCAGGATCCAACCCCTGCGCAGGGCATCATCTTTCAGAAGTCTATTCTGGATGAGATTCCCCACCGCCTGGGACCTTTTGTAAACACAATCCTTTTCAATGGCTTCCTGCAGCAATCGAGAGTGCTCATCCTGTTTCTGACTGTTTATGCTGTGATAGGCCAAGACATCGGCATCTAGTATTAGCAAGTTCCAACGTTGAGCTAGTACATGTGCCAAGGACCTTCGACCCGATCCTGGTTTGCCATGAAGCACGATGCGAGGGTAAAAGTTTCTGGGCAACTGGTAGAAATCCCCCATAACTCCGCGATGAAAGGCGTCCAACGATTTGGTATATATCTCAACACCAATCCGCCTTACATTCTCGCCCATCCAGCGACGCACATCGGTTACACCATCCGCCACGGCAATCTCCGCCAGAATTCGACTCATCACCTCCATTAACTTGTGCTTTTCGATGTAGTACATAAAGGCAGCACTGTACTCCACCAGCATGGATCGATCGAAATTGGTGGGCGAGGACATGTTGCTATCTTCCCTTATAGGTTTTGTGTTAATTAAAAACAATTTTTAACTTTACATCAAGAGTAATCAAACAAATGAATTATGTGCGCATGCTGACTCGATTTGTAATATTTTAATAGCTTCTTTATAAATAAATTTACTTAGTTTTTTTTAGTTCTGTTAAAAACTTAGTTATAACTAAAATAATACTTTATTTAATAGATTCAATATGTATTGATTTAAAAAAAATGACCTTCCTCATTTCAATTTTAAGGAATTATATATTATGTGTATTTATGTTTGACTGAATATACATTTACTGAACATATACATTTTGTTGATATTTTATGAAATCTGCTTTATAAATTTTAAATTGCTTATTATTCATAGCTCATCTCAAAACACTTATTACCAAGATATAAATATAAACTTTATTTTTTGTAAGTGCCCTTATCCTTTGTATTATTCACTTCTTGAAGGGTTACTTAATATCCTTAGTTCATCCCACTCTTATTTAACTCTACTCATAACGAGAGCTTAATGGAGAGCATTACCATTAAGACGACTGTTGCTGGAATTTCTCGCATTGTTATTATCATATTAATTGCTTCCGCTACAATATTAGAAAATGGCGCGTACTTCCGGGCAGCCCGAAAAGCTGGAGAGGATTTGGGGTAGCAGAGTCCATATAATGGCCAACTAATGCCTTGCCAGAAACGGAGCCAAGAAGTGCCAGGCCAAGGCAAATTGGGCTCATATGAGTGCAGCTAGCTGGGTGACAATATTTTGCAGCGAATTATGACAGCTCCTTTGTCTTTTCCGGGAAACAAGCCCCACCCCCAACAAGCCGCACTGGCATTAACAATTTAAAAAGCCGGGGCTGCTAACGGTCTGCAAAGTGTTGCCAAAATGTCTGTCATACTTTATGTTGTCTTATGAGCTGCCCGGCATGTCCTGGCCAAAGCCAAGAATCTTGGTGGCAGCGCAGTATCCTTATGAGGATGCCATGAATGCCTGCCTGCCAGAAGAAGAGTGCTTTCTTGGTGGGCGAGTGGCATGAGTGGGCTAATAAAAACTAGCATACGATGAGAAATTGCTTCCTGTTGCTGTTGCCTTCGCAGGACACTCTCCATATTGTTATGTCAAATATGCTGTTAATATCTTGCACACACTAATATCGCCGCATCCTTTGCTCTTGGGTTTATCTTGGGTTTCTTATTCCAACAGCTGGCCAGGAGGAAAACTAAAGAGACACGCCTTCAAAATGCATTCGGGATTTTAATGCATTTTAATTATATCAGAAAAAAATACGTAAAATCAAAATATGAATTTGAATGTGGAGTGCTTTCGGCTGTTGCCGCTGCCACAAAGAGCGAAACTTTTTAATTAAACTCAAAGCAAAAGCGACAGCGATAACAGCCCGACAGCCTCTCATCTCAGTGCTCCAAATTACATTTCATCATTATGGCCAGCGTCCACACACTCATATTATATATACACCCCCGATCCCGTTCCCCCTTTATTCTGTTTTAATCGCCAAAATTGTGGCACAAGCCGATGCCGACTTCTGACGCATTTTGCAGTTATCACAGACGACTTGCGAATCGAGTCACGCTACTGGGAGACAAGATGTCGCCCTAGAATCGTCTATAGAAATTGCCAATCCGAATTTCAAAATGCTCTATATAATATGTTGTAAAAACGAAATAGTGATGTTAATTTGTATACAATTTGTTTATATGGTCTTAAGTTGTCTTCTATTGCAATCTGTTTTATAAATAGAAAGAAATGTTATTATTGTTCTTAAGAAACCAAAACGGTTAATAAAGTACATTATGATTAATACATGCACTTGAATCGCGGGAAAACCTAAGCAAGTGAAAAGTAATTTGTGAACCGCCAACTAATGACATTTTCCCTTTAAATTTATTTTTAAAAGAGTACATAAATAATCTTTAGCTCCGGTTGTGGTTTAGTTAAAAACTGCGCAAATTGTGAATGCGTGTACATATAAAGTGCAGATTAAGTGAGTAATGTGAAACGGACACACGCAAAAAAAAACGAGGAACAGGGGCTTGCGGAGATTTGTTCCAAAGAAGTTGTATGGTGGAGCCGACCAACCTCATTATCCCATTGCCAACCGTTAAAAAACCGAGGCGCAATTCAAACTTAAGCGGGTTGATAAGAAAAGTGACGAGCCGTGCTTGGCACCGAATAGGAGAAAATCCGTGGACCCGTGCACTTACTTACTTCCACCGGAACTAAAAAATGATAACAAAATGTTTCACATTTTTTGACATTTTTGGGAAAATACGTATTTTTAAAAGGTACATGAATCATACCACCTTGTTTTAGACCCTAGAAGACACCTGGAGGTAGCGATAAACTTGTACTCAAAATATTATTGAAAGTATCTTAAAATATGCAAAAAATTATAAATTAAGCTATGTAATGTATATATTTTAAATGGCAGTATATTATGTTGGTTAATTTATAAGACTAGAAAATAAAATCTACAAAGTTACTTATTTATTTCTTCAGGAAAGTATTAAATAAATCATATATACATAAATCATAACATCTTGTTTTAGACCCTAGAAGAAACCTGAAGATAGCTAAATATTACTGAAAGTATCTTAAAATGTGTATGAAATTATTAATAAAACTTTGTAATATATTTAATTTATATATATAAAATGGAAACTATAGTATGTTGGTTAATTTAAAAAACTAGTAAATAAAATCTGCAAAGTTTCTTATTTATTCCTTTAGGAAGTTATTAAAAGTTATATTTAAAATATGCATATATTTATGATTTATACCAAATCGTGTGGACATTTTTTCCAGTGTGGATGCAGTTCTAGCTGAAGATTGCCAGTTCCTTTCAAGTTTGCCGGCCGCCATCTGAGGAGCGTTTGAATTATTAATCGTAGTTTTGTTGCATCGTCGACCGATGCACTGGTCTTATCGGGTTTGTCGGGCTATGGACCCTTATCGACTTCCTTTGAGGCCCCTGCTCCAAAAGGCCGGAAGTATTGTG